TGTGTGAAGTTAATGTAACATGTAATTTTTCAAACGGAATATTCAATAAGATTTTAATTAACAACTAAAAAATAAAATTCAAATAATATGCAGTATTATATATGTATACTTTCATTTAGAATAGTATTGATCTGACATAAAAATTGTATAAAGGGAAAATGTAATAATATGGTACATATTTATCAATAAGTTTAAAAGAAAGAACATCGAGAGAGAAAATCTACCAAAATAACGTATACATGCCACACTATATAACTAAAAAATTGATAATAAATAAATAATTAAATAAATAAAAAATAAATAAATAACTAAATAAATAAATAAAATATGTAAATAAATAAAATATATTTGTAATAATTACACATAGATATTACGTATCTGGTGAAGGAGTTACCTCTAGAAAATTCATCAATTGACCAAAATCTTCAATCTTTGAAAAAGGTCCGTAAAGCAATTTATTCTCCTTTTCTTCGTTGCTCATACAAATCTGGGTAGTCTGTGTCCTTTCACCACTGAGTCTATATCAAAACCGAAATAGATGGTTTTATGTAGCGAATTTATTAAGAAATTCATTCGGATTGGTTCGCTGGTGAATATGATAATATTCACAAAGATACGATATTACCACAGGTATCATTTAATGCATATATGTATCTTAAATAAAAAAAAAAAACCTTCCTTGAAAGTTGATAAATGTTGCTAAGCTCAAATCGAAGGTTGGTATGCACAAGGATTTTGGATTTATTTATTTTTTAAATATTGTCTGTTGTACAAAAGTCATGAATAAATAAACTAAGTTGGTACATAAACAGCTAATGCATTTACTCGAAGTAAATAAGAAGATTGGAGGAGGATTTGGAGGGGGTTAAAAATTATGCAACATACATATCAAGTCTGAATACAATACAAAATACAAAAAATAAACAGAATAGAGGATAGGCGGGACAAACAAGACTTCGCCCGTGAGTTTCAATAATACTCCAAATACTATACTTTTCTTTAAAACCATAAACCTTTCCTCCAATTTGCTTTTTAAATAACTTTTATTGGGAAGTTCTATGTTAACTTTACATATAATAACTTTTTAAAAAGATGCAAAACAGAAATGATTATGAAATTATTCTAAAATGGGAATTAAAGAAATGATAATCATGAATCAGCGTTGCAATATAGAGAATAATTATGCTTATCTTAGGACTTTGCATGTTTAAGATTTTAAGCAGTAACAGGAAGTCTGTGTCACCTCGAAATATGTTTAAAAGAAATAAAAAAATTCATTTAAAACAGAAAAGCATATTCCTCAGATAAGATTGAAATTTAGACACGAATTTAACATCGGGGAATATGAATGTGGAAATTAGATTTCAAAAATGGTTTTCTATCAAATGATTTCAAAGTACGAAACTATTCACCCGAGCAAATGCTGGTTCTCAGCCCGATGTTCTTCACGGTTCTTAATCTGAGGCTTTCATAAATAATATTGATGATTCTTTTTTTACTTAAATAGAAAACCATGGACATAAGTAAGTAAAAGCGAAATTATTTTTTTTATGCTTGTGAGAACACGAGACTTAATTATAAAACATATTAGGCATTCTTGTATATCTAAAGGATCAAATATTTATTTTGTATTCACACAAAGATTATGTCCTCATGTGTCTTTTCAATTCTTTCTCAATAGAGATGGTTTGATTTCACTGTAATTTCCTTTGCTTTCTTACAGTCCGTTCTATTGATTTACATCAAAGATACAGCTTAATATGCTTTCACAGTCAGAAAAACATCATTTTTAGGGGGAAATGTATTCTCTTTGGGGGTGAGAATGAATCGTTCAGATTCAATGTAATCAAAAGAATGTTGTAGAGGCAGATTGTTTTCTACAAATTATGTGATATTATTTTAAGGTACATGCATCTAGGTATTTTTTTTAAAGTAGTTTGTTCTCCATTTTGTATGGTTACATATTTATTTAAGGAATAACTGTCTAATTTTTTGGATTCATGATGTGATCAATCGAGTGGCTTGCGTGATAATTTGCATAAACGCCGAAGGCGTTTATGCGTAAAATTATCACGCAAGCCAATCGATTGATCATCGTCATGAATCCAAAAAATCTGACAGTTATTCCTTATATTTACATGCTCCTGGTTCTGCAAATTCCCGTGCTAATAGCCCCGCTTCTGTTTCTATTTGTCACGCCCCGCACATGATTTATGTAGAAATAAAGTATTTTTACAATTTGTAATTTTATCTCGGACAAAGACATTGGAAATGTAAATATTTAATGTTAAGTGCACTAAAGTGTCTATATTATAATGTGCAATAGAAATTTTTGTATTGTTTTGTATTTACCACTCTGAGACGGGAATAAGGAACTAGATCCTGTTAGTGATTTGATTTTCAAGGATTGTTACGTCTGAAATTGACTGTGGTATGTTTCATGAAGAATAGTGCTATAATTTTCAAATTTCCTTTATGTTCACTGTTTAATATCTGCATTTTTTAAAATTCAATAAAGATTGTTAGTTTCCTAGCCTTTATTGTTCCTTTTTTTTTTTTTGAAAGTTCAGATAACTTCTGAGAACCTATCAAAGAGAATTTATTTACAAAAAAAAAAAAAAAAAAAAAAAAAAAAAAAGACGGAGTAAAAATCTAAGACTGTATTTAGCTCTATTTATAATGGTCTCAGAATAGTTCTATTTAGTGGTCTCAAAACTAAGTTTACTTTAATTAAAAGTTTAACTTAAGTTTTCCTTAATTGTAAGATGGGGAGTCAAGCTCAGTCAAATTAAATCCCTGCTCACTTTATCCTGTTTATTTCAGAAACTGTACTGCTCGACCGTCATACTGACTGTGTGTTAGACAGCGCTTTCATACTTTTCTAATTAGCATACTTGATTCTCATTGGCTTTACATGATCTTCTTACTACTAGAGAGTTTCTTATCACTAACTAGAATTATCTCTGATCACCATAGGTAGTCCTTTTAAGTGTTTCTGCTTTACCTCTTCTTTCAACTATAGTCCCACTGGACACGCCATTTCTGGTGATGTTAATACAATTGAGAAAGACGACCTAAAAACAATCATTTTAAAGGTCCTAAATACAGGAAGCTCAGACCTTTCGATTGACGTCAAAACCTAATTTCTTATATGAAATCTGTCGAATATTATGTTAGAAGTTGGGTAAAATTTGAAGGGGAAGATTTGAGCACTTTGTCAGAATGGATTAAGTGTTTCAGAAATAAATCAAAGAATCATGTTAGAAAATTAAAAGACAATATTTGAACCATCTTTTCTTCCAGCAGACAAGGCTTACAACTACGTTATAGTCTTTCTTTCTGAGGCTCATTATTATAACTGTATTTTAGAAGAACTTGGTTTTAATTTTACATCTGGATATCCTACTTACATGTATACTCACAGTTCACTTTCTTATGATGATATTCTTTAAAATCACATTTCAGTCTTTAATCTCTTAACATCCCAGTTAACCAGGGTGAGTTTGATCTGCCCTATCTATATTGGATTTCTAAACTTTATAAAAATCCTTACAAAGTAAAATAAATTGCCAGGTCCAACAAGTGCTCTACCAAGCCTCTATCTACACTCCTCATAAAAAATAATGGCTACTGTAAAAGAGAAACTTGTACTGTGGTGTAAATCAATTGTGGATTCTCAAAAACTCCAAAGAACTTTTTTCAAAAGTTAGTAACATCAAAACGTATGGCTTTATACAACGTAAATTTTCATATCTTGTGATTGGTCATCAACAAAACTACATTATAAAAACAGTCAATCTGATTCTTCACACAAGTACTCTGAAGTATTAATATAAATATTAAAAGGATGCTGGATTTCCTCATTAACAACATTTATGCACTATTGGAATTTCAATGGAAACCGATTGTGCTCCTTTATTAGCCGATCTGTTTTTATATTCCTTTAAAGCAGAATTTATTCAAAAACTTCTTCATGAGAAGAAAACGTTTGCTATGTCCCTCAACTCAATATTTGGTTATATGAAAGAGACGTTTTATCATTTAACAAGAGTAACTTCAATTTATATGTCGACTCGATAAAGGACCACATAGTCTGCCATATTTATTTCATACTTTGATGTTTTATTGACGTTACACGATAGGGACCAACTAACATCTAAATTGAATTTGCTCTTTGTAATAATAACTCTTTGATTGAAAATTCTAAAGAGAAACAAAAGAAACCATGTCACAAAATACAATATTTATTACATTCATGACCGTTAGTGGAGACAGTGAGGGACTTTGACAGGTTACCCTGAAATACAATTTGAAGAATTCGTTATTGGTTATTAAAACACTAGTGATTTTCGTTTGTTAATTTTGAAATATGGTATTTTATTTAGTCTCCCTAAATCATTCAGAGGCATGCATATTACTGTATGTGTACTTAAAAAAGCGGGCTTCATATTTTAGCGGCTTTGGCGCGGACAACGATATGCACTAATTCATGAATACCGCTAAGAAATCATTTATAAATGCAATACACGGCATGGACATGCGTACTGCTTATTCATGATTTCGCCAACAACTCCATACCCAGTGAATGCGCTAAATTTTGAATACGCCAATTTATGTACACGTACAGTATATCATTTATCTTAGCTTTCACCATATTTTATAGAAAGCAGTCTTTTAATTCTCAAACATACAAGAACATAACTAAAAATACATGTTATAGTCATAGAAAAGGAAATAAAAAGCTGAAAGAAAGACTACGGCTGTTTACCTTGGTATTTGGCTATCTTGTCGAAGACCTTTTTTCCTCCTTTGTTAATAACTTTTGTTACACCTCTACAAATCTGTGCCAGCAACAAAAAAGGCCTTTAATATCATCACAGTGAATATTGAAATGAAGGAAATGTTTTTATTATCTTTTGTAAACATTGTGATCTTTCTTGAAAGTTATGATACATACCAGTCCATTAGAACCAGATAATTTTTTTCCCATACTTTTTTCAAGTTTTCCTCTGAAACGATTATAAAGCCACCCCCATCTACTTCCACGGAATTTCATGCGTACAGAACTACGTGGGCTACTGCAACTGTAAGCTTGAAGGGACTTATTGGCCAAATCTTGTCGAAAAAAACATGTATATAATTTCACGTTTTAACTAAAATGCATGCTATCTCTCTTTATCTCTCTCCCTCTCTCTCATTCTTACACACACATACACATTATTTAGCTAAGCAATAAAAATAATAGGTCATTCGCAATATCTAAATAGACGCAAAATCAAGGAGAAGAAATGATTTTTTTTAAAGTTCATTCAAAATGTCATTTAAATACCTGCTATTATATTTACATCGAATCCGATTCCACTTGCGCTGAAATTTACATAACCATCATCCGTGTGCTGAAGCCTGTATAAAATACATGACTGTATATCACAATTACAATAATATTAATTAGTAAGGATTTATAATACAGTCTATATGTAACACACACACACACACACACACACACACCCTCTCTCTCTCACACACACACACACAGAGAGAGAGAGAGAGAGAGAGATCATACTTACAGCCATGTTTTATATCTGAACCAAAAATCAATCCTTCCTCCGATTCTTCCGCCGCTGACAGTCAACTTCAGAGTAAGTGGGCTAAGCCTGAGGACTTTTACTGCACTGCTTGGTAGAGTTAAATCTTCTACTCGTAAACTGAAAGAATGAGTACCGTAAAAGCAGAACTTTTTAGCGAGGATTCAATTTTGGCATTATAAGCGACGGTTTTGAGATCGCGAAAATTGAATATCGCGAACAATTTATACCGTATCAGTTGTTATAGCTATCTTTCTTGACATTATAAAATCCCTAAAATTACTTCTCTCGTAAAATATACATAATGTTTTGGGATAAATCGATAAATTTCCGTTTCTGCTAAAAATCTTACTTATAAGGTAGTATTCAGTAGTTAAAGACTCCTTAGAAACTTTTACATTCAAACTTTAGTTAATTACAATTCATTGGAAGAAAAACATACTTATTTACTCTGTATTTTACAGAACCACTCCTACCACTGATTTCGGGAATTCGTATGTTCCGGAGATATGACAGTATAAGACTCTCTACTAAAAAATTAAAATATCATAATAATATATATCATTTCTCCATTTCTTTATTATGAATAATTTATGAAAAGGAATGAATTAATCTAAATAAACATACAAAGTCGGGTTCGAGAACTTCTTTTATCCAATGACGCATGATCTGATTGAGCTTGGCAAACAACTCCAATGAAAACCAAAAGGAGTGCTGCAAACAAGAGTCGGATGATGGAAAAGCCCATTTTAAAGAGTTCTGAAAAAACCTATACCGATTATTATTGAGTTTACAAACAATTTCAAAGTTATTTCCGTCAATTGTAAAAGAACATCATAAACTACGGAAGCCTCTAATACAGAAGCGTATTAGTAATATTTTTTTAAGTTGGTAATTCCAACTTTAGCGTTGGTTTTTCCATCTTTAAAGTTAATAATTCCAACTTTAATTATAGCTTTTCAAACTTTAATTTGAGCTTTTCTAACCTTTTATTTTTTTTTATTTAATATCATTACTAACTTTATTAATGTATGTTTAATATACTGAAAAAAAATTGATGAGCAATAAACGGTGTCAATTATTTTTTACCCTCTTCCATAGACCTTACATATATAGCTCTCAACTTTAACAGCCCTTATTTCTCTTGGTCCAACTTATATTATTTATAGAGGATATAGTAACTTCATACAAAGCTGTAAATGCGAGTATTTCTACCATACCTACATGTATTTAAGAGGATTTACAAATCTAATTTTTGAGAATGAGTTTAAAAAATGAACCCATATTAGGTTTTTGATTCCTAGAATGAATCAACATTACTTTTCATGCTACAAAGACAACTCTAGCAACTGTACTGTAGAAAATGTAACAATTCTGTATATTAAAACACAATGAAAATGATTATTCCTTCTTTCATCATAATTATATAAATTAGTTGTTTATTTCTATTTTTATAATAAATAGCAACGTGAGTCCAATGAACTGAGAAATATACGAATCAAAGGCATGAAGTCCGAAAAGGTTGGAAAAGCCAAACTTAAAACTGGAAAAGCCAAGCTATGGGGATCAATCAATTTAAAAGGCATTATAACACAAAACTAAAAGGCTTTATGACGCTAACAGCTCATCACTTTCAAATCAAAGAATATAATGAGTTGATAAGTGAATTATTCTTACTTTAACCATCGAATTTATACAGCTGTATAGGCCCCTAGGAAGCAAATTCAGTTCGGGGGAGGGACACAACCCAAATATTATCAGTTTGGGGACACTACAGGGGTCACACAACTCAATGAATTTATAGCGCGAAGCTAGAACATTTTTTTTTGGATTGGGTACCTTTATAGTCATATTAGCAAACCTACTTTTGTATTCGTATGAAGCAGAATTTATTCAAAACCATATACATGAGAAGAGGAAAACACTTGCTGTGGCCTTCAACTCGAGATTTTGATATATCTTCAATTTACAATAGTTACTTCCATTCACATCTCGTCTCGATATATACCAGTGAACTTGAAATAGAAGATATCACAGAGTATGACACATATGTTTCATATTTGGGTATTTTACTAAAAAAAGACGTTAATGGTAACCTAACAAAAAAACTGTATGATAAACGTGATGTCGTCAATTTTTCTATCTCCAACTTATGTAGCAATATATCCTTATCACCTGCATATGGAGTTTATGTCTCCCAGCTGATTTGATATGCAACGCAAGGTCATTCTCTACGTACGAACAATTTCTAAAAAGAGGCAAGCTATTGACAAAAAGTTGATGAAACAGGGATATCAACAGTATCCTTTAAAGTTAAATACAATGACCATCTCAGAAAATAAAATCTATCATTTAGTCGAATGCTGACTGACGTTTTTCATGCTAATTGTGGGGCCATTACTTACACACGCATTTGTCTACGGATTTTTCCGTTTGTTGATCATGACAAAGAGTACACTCCGGCTCTGACATATCGACAGGGGGTACTTACCCCTCCAGGGCACCTGATCCCACTTCTGATGTTTTTTGAGGTCCATGTTTGCTTTGCTCCAGATGTGTATTGTTTCAATGGACTTGATTTATATAATGTTATCTCCATATTTCATAGCACGAAAATATAATAAACCATGCCAAGAAGAGTCAGGAATTGTTCGCAACCATTTCAACAATCCTGAACATTGTCACCCTGCATGATAGCCTACAATTACAATACTACAATGTTTTGTTCTCAGTTTTTGGTATTCACAGACTTATCACAACAGGTACCTCTACATATAGGTAACAACAAAAGGCCTTCCAAGTATTTAATGTCTACATTCCAAATAAACCAGCTAGAATGACTTGTCCACCATGATTATAGACCTGTATCGAACTAAAAATATATACTTGGGACTTTTTTCTGTGAAGTACATGCACTAGGTACTTCTTTACGGAATATTTGTGAATTGTAAGTAACTTTACCTCAGGAATGGCGACAATTACCCCATCAGCAGATTCGATATCTGGATGGAGTTTTGAAACTAAGAGTTCGGTTCTAATTTGAATGCATGGCTGACATACTCTCTACTAACTCTAATGTCTTCAAGAAACACCATTCATACCATGTGACAGTTTATTTTTAATCAAAACAACAAACTTTTTGTTATCTATGGATATCAATTCTTTTTAAGGAGTTTTTTTTAAAAATAAGATTCAACTTTTTAAAATCGCTTGGCAAAATCTTCGTTTTTGAGCTCAGATAAAAATTATGCTGATTCTCCTCTGTCAGAGAACCTTTCTGGCAATTAACCTTTGTTTTTTTTTTTATTTAAAGATCTTATTTCAAGTAACTTTGGAGGCCTTATTTTCTATAGCAAGGTATTTAAAAGATGTAGTATATTGAAAATTTAAGAAAAATCAAAAGAAAAAAAAATATGGGTACTTACTTTCCAATCAGTAAAGCAGTCATGAACTGTCCTTCGAGATGCTATATATATATACAGAGAAAAATAACATGGATCATTTGATGAACTTTTGACGAGAGCACCAGCTGCTAATACGTAAACGCATCCTTACTAAATTACGGAAGGTTTATCTTTAAATCTTGAAAATGTGGTCAAATAACAGTAATTGATATCAAATAATTTGTTGAAAAATTTGTAAACAAGTGTGTGTGACATTTACACTCTGTCTTTGTATAGTTTTCTAGCCAAAATATAAATCCAGGAAATGTATCAAAATAATTAATAAATGCTCCAGATATTTGCAGATACCTTCATGTGTCTTTCTAATTTGTTTCTAAGTTTAACTTTTCTGATGGTGTCCTATGTCAACATTATACACAAATAAGTATAAGACTGATTGAGAATCTAAAGAGCAGAATAAATCAATTTTATTTTATTGTCATTGAACAGAACAAAACATTTTATTTCTAGTATAGAGCCCAGAACAGCCAAGTATGAAATTATTACAATAATAAGATATGCCAATTAATGAATAGTAAAAAATTAGTAAATGACATTGCTCATTTCAACAATAATCTTGCACTATTTCAATTAAGGTGTAATATAAGGTGTAGTAGAACATGTAGAATTTGTCTTATCTCTAAAAGTCAAGTTTGAGGAAGATATTTGGTGTAGGTATCACTTTTGATTTTAAAAAAGTATACGAGGAAACATTTTCTTTTTAATTACTGACAAATAACTTTTTTGGACATCGATGATCTACTATATAAGGTCTATTCAATTTGAATCTGAAAATTTATAGATACAAATAGCCTTTGTTTGAAATTCGAGCTTCGTTCAGTGTTTCCATTGAAAAGAAAGAAATTGTACATTTCTACCTAAAACCAGGAACTTATGTCAAATACACAACACATTAATCATAGCAACATTTTTCTTGGGCATGACATTTATAGAAGTTTCAACGCAAGAATTTTGAGGGGGTATATTTTAGAGTTGCAATGCATTTAATATTTAACTGAACATTAAAAATTGACCAAGGATCTAGGTTTGACACTCATTAATGTACACCACCTTTTTGCAGAGAAAAAAAATGTGTGTTCTTGCATAAACAGAACAGCAATATTCTGACAACTGTGTTCTTCGATGAGGGTAGCGTGGTGAGTGAAGGCTCATCTCAGATTCATGATCATTAATGAAAATCTCACTAGAATTCGGTACTATGACTAAATTCTCTACAAGGACATTGAAATCCTGTAAACCAAGTCGATCATCTAGAAATATGACTATGTCTGAACACATCCTGCACATGTTGTTCGTGAATATCCTGAACATGCAGTAGATATATCATCCAAATGTTACAATGGCCAACCTTACCAATGAACATGTGTTGGATGAAATGGATTGCCGATTACATCACTTTCAACTAGTTTAAATGGCCTTTATCTAGAACAGCATTGAAATTGCCCGTATCTAGGACATTTTTTAGCCTTATGGTTACATCTTGGAAACGCCAAATCAAACTTGCATAAATCTGAATGGAAGTCAATGTATTTCCTGCCTTTGACTTTATTTTCGACCTCGGTGGGTTTAGTAATGAAAATGCAGCCTAGCTCTGTCCTT